AGGATAATTGTCATATACGAGTTTTACACAGTGTCACATGCACCTGCTAAATGGGTGTTGAAACTGATCAATCACAGTGTCTGTTTAATGACAATCTCATATTTATAGAACATTATAAGTATTTTGTAATATTATTATGTGTATTAATATATAATTCAATGAATATATAATTATTTTTTACGCTTCTTGGTATGTCATTATTATTCATATTAATAATGTATTGTCATTAATTAATATAATAAATAATAAAATATATAAAAACATAATAATAAAAGTGTCACCTTAATCTAAATGTTGAAATGCAATTGTATGCCATATATTTAAATGAAGTTAAATAATAATATAGTTGAATAATATTGTGTGCTTTAATGCCTTAATTCACTCTTCTGTTTGTCTAAATTATTTCAGATATTAATAACAATAACGATTTATAAACTGATAATATACTGATATTAATTTATAAGATCATTTTAGGATAACTAAGGAACAGTATGTTATGTCTTGGTGCCTATAGTTTAGAGCCTTCATGTTCAGAAGTGAATGTAGAACATCTAAACGTCTTCCTCAATCTCCAGTATGTCAAACTGAGAAAAGGGCTTACACTAGTGGGAGAAACGACACCAGTGCTCACTTAAAAACCCTTTAAACCTTCCACAGTGAAAGAAGATCTGAAAACCAAACTGAAGATGGAGGTGGAGGTGGAGGGCAGTATCAGCACTTGACCACGCAGAATTACATGAAACCTGAAAAGCAGAACCAGGAGCAAAACCAAAAAAAAAGATATTCTGAACACACAAATTAATCACTAAAACACCTGCTGAATCACTGGACTATGAATGGTTCAGAACTCATCTAGTATCAGCAATGCCTTGCCCTTTCCTGAGATACAGACAGCAAACAAGCACCAACATGTACAGCCATGGTGTTTGAGGCGTTTGTTGTTTCAGGAGCCCTTTGGGAAGGTTTGAGAAAGGGTGGTCCAAATCATCACTATTTTTAATTATTTTATTGTTATGTCAGTCAGTTATATAACTGTTTTAATACAGTTATAATGCTCTGAGACAACACACCCCAAAGTATGTGAATGTAGAATTGTTTATATGCTGAGGATGTGGTTAGGATCACCTAGCACCACTGAATAATGATATATATATAATATTAAAAGACTTCAATTTATACATAGTGTATTGTGGTATAATAGTATGTGTGATATGGTTCAAGAGGGAGGAAGGAAGAAGACAGGGTCGGCGGACTGGGACGCGAGTGTTTATTCAAGTCTCTCAGTAAATACAACAGAAAAAGGAGCTCATTCGCGTAATCTGGCTCCCCTGTTGTACAACCGGCTTTGTCTGCCCCGAGCCTGCAACAAATTCTCCATAGAGAGCCGCCCCAAATTGTGGAGTTTCGTTCTCAGGTCCAGTACATACTGAATTTCACTTTTACTGTTGGGTCACTCGATACAACCGGTCTTTTACAATAGCAAAATAGGGATAGGAGAGCGGTCGAGCCAGTTGGAGAAGCTGCCCGTCGATGGAACGGACCTGTCAAAAGCATTTTTGAGCGTTTCGTCCTGGGACTGCTCCAGGGGAAAATCATCGCACGTTGTGAGGGTTCTCCTCTCAACAGCGCTCCGTTCCCCTGTCTCAGTCCCCCTTGGTCCCGGCTCAGCTTCTCCTACCTGTGCGACCGCCCCCCTTTCCCGCGCTCTTTCCTCCCAAGAGACACCCGCACATAAATGCCCCAATAACGCCTTAAAACCTGGCCAATTTGTTCCCAAAATTAGCGGATGTCTGAGGTGCGGGCTAACTGCCACCTCTACTCTATGCTTTTGTCCCCGAAATTGAATAGCCACCGACATTAAGGGGTAGTCCATCACATCCCCATGCACGCACCGAACCTTAACCATTTGGCTCTTATCCAATGCCTCCGGCTGGATCAGGCTTTGATGCATTGAGGTTTGGTTGCATCCCGAATCCACCAAAGCCTGATATGTACCCCCCTTAATACTCACGGGTATCTGGTACAGGCCAGCTTGATCGGGGGCAGCCTGCGGGGCACGCCACCATTTGGTCCTCCGCCAGTTGGATGGCCTGGTTCAGTGACGTCGGGCGGTGGCACTGGACCCACTGGGCAGTCTTCCTCGGCAGCCGTGCCACGAACTGCTCCAGCACCACTCGGTCGATGATTTCCTCGACGTCGCTTGTCTCGGCCATCTGCGGCAGGCGTCCCAGAGCTGTTGCGCCATCATGAAGGGTCGGCCCCCCTCCCCGAGGTCCAGCAACCGGAAGCGCTGGCGATGCTGCTCGGGGCTCCGTATCATTTGCGCTTGACCTCCTTACGCACCGCTCGTCTCCTGCCTCTCTCTCCCGGTGCAGACCTCGCTGAACCATGCCCCCCTCGCCACAGTATGTTTACGAAATATCACATGACAGAGAATTCTGTTGTATCAAATATCATCATGACTGTGATGCATCGACAAGATATTTCTTTTTATTCAGCAGTTCAATAAACATGATGTTAATGTTGATTAACCAACATTTTAGGTACACTGTCGCCAATAACTTTGTTTTGCAAACAAAGCCACATAAGAATTATTTACCGTGACTCCGAGCAACAAACAGTGGTGTGTTGGGGACTCATTCCTGAATGAATCAGTGTTTTTGAACAAACTGGTTGAGTATGATTCAGAAGTCATAAAGTTTTTTTTTTTATTTGTTCCTGAATGAATCAGTGTGTTTGGATGAATCGGTTAAGTGAACAATTCAATGACTTGGGCATAAAGACAGTCACTTGATTTGTTCCTGAATTAATCAGTATGTTTGAATGAATCACTTGAGTAAATGATTCAATTACTCTTTTCATGAATGAATCAGTGTGGCGGTTGAGTAAATTCAATGACTTACTCCTAAACAGTCACTTGCTGAATTCATAACCGCACGCTAGTATACTACTACTACTACTATTGCTGTCATACAAACATATTATAAAAATAAGAGTAGTATGCTAGTATATTGTTCTGAATTCAGCAACTTATTTTGTTCCAGTGCGTTTAGCACAAATCGGTTGAGTGAATTATTCAATGACTCATTTATAAACAGTGGCTGGATTTGTTTCTGAACATAGCAGTGTGTTTGAATTAATTGATTTAATGATTCAGTGACTCATTCATGAAGACTACCAACTGGTGTAATGATACTACTATACGAAACAATATACTGCAGTAAAATGCCTATGGGACATTCTACCAGAAATGTACATTATCTGTCAGTGACTTGTTACAGTGAATAAAAAGTATTACACCCAAAAATATCTAAAACTGACTGATGGTCGATTTCTGTGAGTTGTTCTGTAAAGGAATATGTCATTCATTAGGTTCTCAGAGATTTTTGTAATTTATTAAAAACACTTTTGAAAATTACAAATCCTGTCCTTGTCCTTGTCCTCAGCCAAATTGGACCTACGGCTTTCATAGTTTTGTTATGCTAAAAACTGTTATTTAGAAAAAAAACTCTATCAATAACAAGTTTAAGTTGTTATCACTCACATCAACTGATTAAAAACATGATATTATACATGAATTCTACAAATAAATACTATTTTATAACTGTCCCCATATTTTTGGTCAGTCCTGTCATGTTTACATAAAACTCAACATAAAATGTGTGTAATGCACCTTTAAAGGTATGACTCAAAGGAAGTGACATAATTTGACTGAGGTGAAGCTGACACTGATCAAGGGTGAATTCTGTCATTGAATTGTATGATTTTAAGCTTGTTTTTGTATGTTTTTTTTTAGGAGGACGAGCTAAAGGGTCGGGCCCTGTCACGGTAAAACATCCCAGAAAATAATGAAAATCTTTTAAATCCAAAACATGTCTAAAAAAGTTACTGAAATTCCTTGATTGCATGTTAACAGTTTTTATGCTAACATGCTAGTAGGTTGAGTAATGGCAGTTTAAAATGGCCGACCGTCAGGCCCTGTCACATCCCTGTGTGACGACAGGGCCTGACAGTCCTGTGACACGGCCTTACAAATGAATGGCATTGTTGTTTTTTATTACCTTTATTGCATATAATATGTATTTAACGCATGCCATAGTAAAACATTATTTGAATAAATAGACATTACACTGTAAATCTGAAGCTTTTTATGCTCATCGACAAATTTTTTGAATAGGCCTTTTACCTAGGCCTATGTAGCACTGCACTTTGTATATTTTACAACTATACGAGTGCCTGGCGGGGTATTCTGTGATTTTGTGTACTACAGTTAACCGAAAAGTTGCTTATATTTCTTATAGAAATGACAAAACCATGTTAGATACAATCAGGGACATGTGACCAATAAGAAAATGCTATTTGTATCAAAGAAATTCATTAGGAAACCATTCTAACATATACAAATTTGTCTGTGACAGGGCCTGACATTTTAGGGGTGAAATGCGTATAAAAAATGTATTTATTTCAATCATAAAAACATGCTGAGATGGCATGATATGTGTTTCATATAGATAAACATGGTCTCCATATGACTCGACGTTCAGATTTAAGAATAAGATATTTTTTTCACCCAAGATTTTTACAAGTGGAAATGTACGTTTCTGGTAGAATGTCCCCTGTAGAATTTCATATTTACAATGAATACGTATTAATTACACGGTAGCTGATACAGTTACTGAAGACATGTATTATAGAGTAAAGGTCATTGCACACGGAGTCCGAAATTTTCGTCTGAAATTTTCGCACGTTAAAAAAATAAATACCTCACGTTGTTTCAATCACGTTTACACACTGCCTCCGAAACTTTCGTCCATCATAAAAAAACGGGATCAGGTTTGATTTTCTGCGTTTTCGCATCCGTAGCAAGCATTTTGATAGGAAAGGATGACGAATACGAAAAAAACACATACTAAAATTTCGGACTCAGTGTGCAAGGACCTTAAGGTTTATAAGAACCTACAGACACAAATCGAGCACAAAAGACAGAGACAGCAGTGCTCTTAAAATATTGGAATCTGTTTAATGTGCATTGAAACACAGGATTCAGCCTGATACAGTCAGATCCAGAGAAGACAGTTGATTTCTTCCCTCTGTGAGCTCTCAGAGCAAAACACACCAAAAGACCTCAACACACGCTCTTAATGTGCTGTCATTACATATCAGCAGAACGCACAAGGTGGAACAAGCACATGTGAGTTTGTTTCAGTCATATCAGAGACCTACGACTACATACTTCACCTATATTCGACAAAAATAAAGTATGAGATTTCACCCAAAAGAAGAATACAAATCTAACAGGCAAAAACACATCGTCTTTGTTACCTCTATGTTAACTTAATCTAGCTCACATTCCTTTTCCACTTTTCTACTAAATTCTGACCTATATTCCCCCCCAAAAAAGGTACATAATAAATACTCACGTGACACAATGAGTTCAGAGTATCTTAATTATTTAGATCTCCAACAAAAATATATCATCTATGTATTTAAGTGGATAAATGAAGTTAGAGCCTTGCTATCTGAATGGCACAGCATAGTTCACGTCAAGGTCTTAAATGACAGTATAGCAACATAAATAATACTGTGCATATAGTCATGATAGTACTTCTTTCCCATAATCAGAGTAAAAGGACATGGTCTTGTAAATCTAGAGAGGATGTTTTGAATAAAACGAATGACCCACAAACTCTCTCCACCTCTCTATATTAATAATACAGCAGTGTGTAGCAGGACTCCATGGAAGTGTGTGCTTGGCATGGATACAGCGTCCCATTATAAGACTCTAGAGTGCAAAACAGGTGGTTTCACATTTTTACAAAGTTAAAACTTCTCAAGAGACCATTCGTAATTCTCTGAAACTTGAAACAGAGGCAGGAGAGAAATATCGGGGTTGTAATACTTTCCTCTCGAGAATAAAATGGTATTAAGATATTTCGGTTGCATGCATTCTCACATTCGCTCGATGCGCCAGGGAAAAAGCCTGGCTTGATATTTGTCAAAATGCTCTATATAGTCACAGAGCAGGATGCTACCACTCATATGGCTATATTTCTGTGGTATACGTGAATAAATAAGCATAAATAAAGCTTTATTTATATATGCTAAAATGAAAAGATCTAGACAGCTACTCTACACATAAAAATATCGCTACAGACTATCAATAAAATCACACTTAAATCCTCACTGTACTGTTAAGATTTAACATTAGGCACTGAGATTTTTTAGATTGATAGTGACAGACAAAACAGAGAGGAAAAGAAGGCTTTGTTTAGGGGTGTTTGTTCATTTTGGTTTGATGTGATTTAAAAAGTCCTTAGTGGATAGGTAAAGGCCATGTAGTGTGTATATACAGTTTAAAAAACATTCTTTTGATGCTCAGTCTTAGCTCTTTTTCTCTCTTGTTTAGTCAAACAGGGAAATCAAAGGTTTTTAGTATTATGAGTGGATTTGTGTGGTCTGTGTGATGTGTTGGCTGAAGATGAGGGTTGTGAGAGTCAAATCAAGGCTACAGTCGGTCATTTATCTCTTGTTCCCTTCCTATTTTTCACAATTTCCTCTTTGACCCTCATTCCTGAAATAAAATTGTACACAAACACACACTTTCAAGGCTGTAGAATTAGCCAAGTTGATCTTCATATTGCTTCCTGAAACAGTCACCAGCTGGGAAGAAGTCCCAGCATCGCTCCTGGTACATTTTCCATACATAGGACTCCTAGAAAGAGAGAGAAATCAAATTAATACACTGCATTACAATACAATTCAACAAAATACGGAGAAAATTAAAATGATTTTTTTTTTTTTTAGAACACACTACTGTTCAAATTTTAGGGTCAGTAACATTTTTAAGAAATTAATAGAACATTAAACTGATTAAAAAGGAAAGTAAAGTCATTTATAATGTTAATATATAATTGGCATAATGAGATAAAGATAAATGCTGTTCTTTTAAATTCCTGTTAATCAAACCATGAAAACAAATGTCATGTCAATCATGGTTTCAACAAAAACATGAAGAAGCACAATTGTTTTCAACTCTGATAATAATAAGAAACATTTCTTGAGCACCAAATTAGCATATTTCTGAAGGATTGTGTGACACTGAAGACTGAAGTGATGACCGCTGAAAATTTTGCTTCACCATCACAGGAATAAATTGCATTTAAAAAAAATATTAAAATGGAAATGCAATACTTCACAACATTACTGCATTTTGATCAAATAAATGCAGCCGTGGTAAGCATACAAAATCTTATCAACCTAAACGTTTGAATGGTAGTGTATATATTTATAATGTCGACCATCTTAGATGCAAAGTTTTTATTTGTTTGTTTCAGAAATACATTTTTGGACAGTGATAAGAATAAAACAACATTGACCTGTCCTGTGTGCTCCGTTTCATCTTTATTGATTAAATACATCAGGAAGAACCTACATGGCAGAAAAAAAACATAGTTTCAAAATAAGGAACCAAATATTAGCTTTCGTTGTTTCTGAATAAACAAAACACTTACATGTAGTTGGCTAAATTGTGCTCCTCCATCGTATGCGTCTCGAAGCCATGCGGAGTCGAGTCAAAGTAGTCGCTTCCAATTCCACAAATGAAACACTTAGTCTTTGAAAAAACAAAACAAAACAAAAAGATCTTAATTTTAAAACCACAATCCATAATGCAAGACAATTACATATTTCATTCTCAGCAGTTGCCACAAGGGGCGCTATGGCACACATTAGCAAAAACATCTTCTACAGTCAGTTTTCTCCTTTAACGTCAACTTCTGTCACTGCGAAGCAACAGTTTAAATAGAATCTCGCTGAGAAAGCTAGTTAATGTTGATCCTTGCATCAGAACATGCCTACTTCCTTAATATACTGTAGCCGAAAAACAGTATGCGAAATGAATAGTATGCCCGAAATTGTAGTATTCATAAAGCAATAGGCGAAGATGACCCACTACTTTCGCAGAGATTCTGAAGTGTGCATCCAGTGGTCACTTTACTACGACATGAGGCCACAGGAGAGAATTTGTGAATGTCAGTGAAGTCACATGATAATGACAACATGGTGGATTTAGTACATCCATTTATACATTACACACATTCAAACTATATTGAATGCACTTTTAACGAATGCAAAGTTCTTTCCTTATCAAATGTAGACCGCATGCGATTTCAGATGCACCAGATATGTTTATAGCAAGTTACCTGAGCTTGCAGCTAGCTATAGTTTGCATGGCTGGAAATATTTAATTAAAAGGGTTAATATGATGCGATTTCAAGTTATCCTTTCTCTTTGGAGTGTTACAAGCTGTTCGTGAATAGATAAGATCCCTAAAGTTGCAAAGACTAAAGTCTCAAACCCAAAGAGATATTCTTTATAAAAGTTTAGACTCGTCCACGCCCTCCTAAAATGCCTCGTTTAAACTCGCCCCCACATGTCTACGCCACTGTGTGGGAAGATTTGCATAACAAATGTGGGAAGATTTGCATAACACTGCCCAAATGTTCACGCAAAGAAATAAGGCGCAACTTTCATTCTCGCTGTAGTATTGTTGCTGCCGCCACCATGTCGTGGAGACGCTGTGTGTTTTGTTGTGAAAGCGAAACTACTTTTTTTGGCCTTCCAAAAGAGGACACGACTAATAATCAGTGGTTAAGTTGTATTTACTACACTGTTCCAGAACAGTTTAACCCATATATTCGTGTGTGTGCAACGCATTTTACGGAGGACGAGGACTGTTTCTTGGGAGAGTAGCCTACATCCAGAACAGTTCAACCCAAATATTCAGATGTGTGCAACGCATTTTACGGAGGACGAGGACTGTTTCTTGGGAGAGTAGCCTACAATGCCGGTTTTCTGACAAAAATGCTGACTCACAGCCTGTAAGTACGATTGATATGACGATTCAAACGCGAGTTTTGAGCAGTGTTGAGTAGCGCTTGTTGTTTGTCGTTTCTCCGATCACAAATGCAGACATGGTTTTATGTTAACGCGGCGCGATGCAATGCGTAAAAAGACAGTATAAGTCATTATAATCAGTAATTATGTCCCCACTGGATGCTACAAATGCCTCGTTTATAATGGGTTTTAATGTTTTTGTCTCATCGCACCGGGACACGGCATCACAGTATGGTAAGGGGCGTAACATTTCCGTCACACGCTTGAGGTATTCGGCCAATCACAACGCACTGGATAGCTGGCCAATCAGAGCACACCTCGCTTTTCAGACCGATGAGCTTTGTAAAAATCTACGCGTTTCAGAAAGTCGGGGCATAGAGGAGAAACAATAATGTACAGTATGTGGAAAATAATGTTTTTTTTTTAATAAAACACATAAACATAAACACAACGCATAAACACATTTCATTACAGCAAATACACAAAATAATGTTATTTTTTAGCAACGTCATATGACCCGTTTAAATAGCATTTTTCTGATTTTTTTCTGGCCACAAAGTACGGTGACCCAGCAGTGCACAACACAACAAAATCTCCACAACACAACGCATAGATCTAATTTCGTTGTGTTGTGCTAATTTCATTGTGTTGTGGCATGTTTCCGTTGTGTAGTGGAGATTTTGTTGTATTGTGCCCTACTGGGCCACCGTAACAAAGTGCCCATTTAGAGACTTACTGATCTACACATAATCCACCAATCATAGTTTGTATTGTTTCTGCACTGAGGTTTGTTAATGCCAGTGCAACAGACTCACATGTACATTTTGCATATTTCAGTTAAGTATTAAAGGAATAGTGTTATTATAGACTCATATTTTGGCCAGAAGCAACAGTTCGAAGTTAAACACCTTAATGATAGATTTGTTTCTTACAACACACAGCTTTTCGCTTCACAAGATGTTAATTGATGCACCGGAGTCATGTGGATTACTTCCGGATTATTGTGATGCTTTTATCACCGTTTTAAACTCTCATTATGACAGCACCCATTCACTGCAAAGGATCCATTATTTCCAAGTGCTAAACACTAAATTTCTCCAAATCTGTTCTGATAAAGAAACAAACTCATCTACATCTTGAATGGCCTGAGAGTGAGTCAATTTTCAGCAAATTGTCAATTGCAGGTAAACTATTCCTTTATGTAAAAAAAAGTACCTCCATGTCCTCTCGGACCTGCTCCTGCTGATCTCTCAGCTCACCGAAGGCATCAATGATCAGACCTGCACACAACACAAACATCATTTCGTAATGTTATGACCAAACTTTTTAAACATTAAATTTACAAAGTGGTAAATTGTCCACAGTGTCTGAATTTCTCTAAAAACTTTCCTCACCTTGAATGATGGCCAGCAGGATGACAATGACAAAAAAGAAGAAGGTGATGTCAAAGACCACACGATAAAGTTCATACTCGTCTCCGGCTGGATCCTCGATCTCGTCTCCTATACCACCACCAGCTCGCACACCCACGTACATGTGGAACAGATAACACTGAGAGAGAAAACATGATCACATGAAATGACAAAGTGTAATTGAACCAAATGTAGATGTGTGGAGAAACACTTACAGTCATCATGTCGTTACACTTCATATCCGGTTCGTCTTCATCCTCACTCATGTTGTAGAACTTTCGGAAGAAATTGAAGGCCACCACGGTGTAGAGGTAGACCACCACAGCCAGCAGACCCACCGTCATCAGCAGCTAAACCACAGTCACCATCAAGATTAACATTTACATCTGGAAGAGACTTCTATAAAATCTCAGTCAAATATGATGTTATCTGAGAGCTGTACCTGTTTGCCATTGTGAGTTACAGAGGACAGGATGGTGCGCAGGGTTTTGACACCCATAGCGATGTCCAGCAGATGACAGGCGAAGAAAAAGTTGTTGTAGTGGCCAAGCAGTGACATGACCAGATACCAAACCAGATACAGGAACGTCTACGAGCAAAACAGAATCCAAATGAATGACCATTGCTATAAATATCCTCATATAACTGAAAGAACTTAGGAAAAAGTGTTGTCTTTACTGAAACTCACATTATCAGTGAACACCACTCCAAATTTCCAGATTTGGTATTTGATGTCAATAGATGTCAACCTGTGGATTCATTACATTTTAGAATGAGAAACAGAATCCATCCTGTTATTACATCATGTTTAAGAGCAGTGATGTCTGAATCTGACACAAATGGCTCTTATGAATAGGTTCATTTTAGTGAATCCAAAAAATGAACTTGACCAGAGTAGTTCAATTCCCAAACAAATGACTCATTTGAGCCACTTTTTTAGTGATTTGAAAATAAAGAGTAGTACAGCTCCCAATCTATTTTTTAATTAGCTTTTGTGAACTCTAACTGTAGTGAATAATACATTTAGTTTACAATTTTCTTTTTCTTTCTTTCCTTCTTTGTTCATCATTTGGCTACTAAATTTCACTTTCCAAATATTCCCGCTTCAAAAGTCATCAATGGAACAGTTCCCATCCCTACCTAATGGCATATTCGTTTTTGTGCTATTGAATCATTTTTGTTACTTGTATTGGCTGTTGACATTTTGGTGACACTTATGAGTGTGTTTTGCATCTTTCTGTACCATGTGAACATTGAGGGATCAATCCGAGGCTTCTTCTCGTGTGTCATAGCACTGACATCAAGGGATGCTAGATCCATGCCGAGCAGCTCAGCGATTCTTTCTCTACCGTAGATATCGCCATACTTCTCTAGCACCTACAATACAGACACACCGTAGACACGCTCAGTCACCGACATCTCTCAATACATCTACACACACAAGCATAGTATGCTCCTGACCTTTCTCTTCACAAATTTGTCCCAGTAGTTGTTCGGGAAAGACCTGAGTGGAGAATAAAAGGGAATTACACATCGCACAGTCTTCACAGGGATACTTGCTTATAAATGTATAAATAATAATAATGTAGTAGTATTACGGTGTATTGAGGACAAGTCTGTCCCACTGGCCCTTGATGTCGTCATCTTCTGGTTGTTCAGTTACGTACAGACCGTCAAACTCCAGTTTACGGGCCAGTTCCTTCTCTCTCTTAAAGATGACCAAAGGAACCTACACATATGCGAAATCGTTAGCAGCTCACACTAGCTTAACCAAATGAAAATAAATATTTCACTTCAAAATGACATTTCTGTCATCATTTACTCAATACACGACTGAAGGCTTCAGAAGAACATAGGGTATAGTTTACATGTGTATGGACCACATTTATGACACTTCATGGGTACTTTTTGGTCCTTTCTGTGGTCATTTAATGCTTTCATTGTTTGGAAAAGAGCAGCATTGACACTCTACTAAATATGTCTTCATGTTTCACAGAAGAAAGTAAGTCATACAGGTTTGAAATGACATGAGGGTGAGCACATGATGACAGAATCCAGTGACTCCAGTGACAGAATCCAGGGCTCCTGACCTTCAGACAGTTGTAGCCGATGATACAGAGGAAGGAAATTATGGAGTGTAAGATAGAGAAGAAGGCCATAGCGGGTTCCATATATCCAGTGCTCTCCTCCAGGAAGAAGTAGACAAACCCTTCTTCCTCATCTTCCTCTCCATTCTCCTCCATTCCAGAAGCTTCGGCTTCTCCAGCAGAGCCCTCAAAGATCCCAGAGCCCTCGAACACACCAGATCCTTCAAACACAGCAGAGCCCTCAAATACACCAGAACCCTCAAACATAGCCGAACCCTCAAACTCCTCCTCTTCTCCAGGTGGGCTGGCAGATACCTAAGGAGGAATGGCTAGCTTCAGTCAAATTTGTTCTTGAAACAAATTAAAGCAAATCACATGGCTGTAAAGTATTTTATTGCAGGGGTTCAATTTATTTATTTATTTTTTGCTGTTAAATTGCAATTAGACCCCTCGATGACCAGTCTGTAGAATGCATAATAAAGCTGGTGAATGTGAAAAAAAAACAAAATATTAACTAAAAATGCAAAATAAATAATAAATCAAATAAAAATTCACAGACCACCCTTGTGGCCCTGTGGGGCTCCCAAGACTTCATTTTGAAAAGCCCTGTTTTATCATCATACTGACCTTGTAGAAGAGCAGAATGAAGTTGAGTGCAAAGGCGATGAAGAGAGCCAGGAAGCGCAGGTTGTAGAAATTGCGAGACAGATAGTTCTAGAAGAGAAAGTGGATTACCTTTTAGATGCAGTCAGAATCAAAAGTAATTAATGAAAAATATGAATAATATAATGTAACATAATATAATTGAATTAAACATGAATCAACATACATGCATTCTACATGACTGTGAAAGATGTATATACTGTAGATAAATAACTGTAATTACCATGAACTTGTTTCTTTGGACTTCAAGTTCATTCCAGAGTTCAAAGCCCTCTTTTTCTTGCTTCTTGCCTTTCTTTGCTTTAGCCTTTGCTTTTTTCTCCTCTTGCTCTTCATCTGGTTTTTCCTCTGGCTCAGGTTCTGCCTCCTTCTCGGCCTTTTCTCCATTTTCAGCACTTTGATGGACAGAAGGATAAGTCAAAGCAACAAAAGCACAATGTTTATATTGCGATGAATATGACTTTCACCGATGAAAGTCGTTGATAATTTGATTTCCATTACTTACTCTGCTTTTTCGGGTTCAGGGGCTGCTTCTTCCTCTACTTTCTCCTCTTCTACTGTTTCTCCCTCTCCTTCTTCAGTCACCTGAAATACCCACAGGAGAAGAATATGTAGACTAAGAGATTTCGATTATGAGTCTACAAAGCAAGAAGCACCACTATATTTGACAAACAGAAGGAGAACAATGTGGAAACGTGATGAGGGATGTTCACTCTTAAGGCAAAATTTCACAGGTTAAAAAGGTCCATAGTCTATTGTCTACACTGTTGTGATGTACGTATGAAGCACCACTCACACAGAAGTCACAGATATCCATGTGCTCAACTTGTAACCACTGGGAAACTGTAGGGAAATATTTAACCCTCACATTACCCTCTCCTAACCGAGTAATTCCCGACTAATTCCTACTAAAATGATTGGATTTCGCCTGTGAAAATTCACCGAACAAAGATAACATCTTTAGACTACAAATGCAAAACTCTTCTTCTCACCAGCTTCCTCTTCAGCAGTGGGCTGCCTTCTGGAGTCGGAGGCTCCTCTGGCTCAGTTTCTCCCATATCTCCTAAACCGCCGTGAGGACCAAAACCAGGTCTTCCACCATCATCCTCTTCTCCTTCTTCTGCTTCCTCCTCTCCTCCTGTTCCCTCCTCTCCCTCACCAGCTCCACCTGATTCTTGTACGTTTCTTGCTCCTGGCTCAGGTGGAAGGTCATCGTGCACCTCATCTTGAGTTGGGTCGGGCATGTTAGTCAGGATCTCTGTCAACGTCATCTTCTTAGCTCCCTCCACCAGACCTCCTCCGAAGAGAGTGTTCCAGATGAGCATGAAGAAACCTCTGCAGACGCTGTAGATGAAGTGCAGGATGCCAAAGAGGACAGTATAGAGGAACATGACCAGACCAACAATCATGTCCTTTATGGTCATTTTCCTGATTTTGCGGTAACGGCGTCTGAGATTGCGGAAAGTGAAGAGGCTGATGAAGTTCATTACGCTCTTGATGAAGTCTGCAAAGGCTGAGCTGGATTCAGGTGGTGCTGCTTCTCCATTCCCTTCTTCTCCTTCACCCTCTCCATTTCCGCCACCACTGCTCTCCTCCTCATCTTCTTCATCCTCATCTTCAATCACCTCCTCTTCCTGCTCTGAGATCTGCGAGGCAATGTTCATCTCAAAGATGGTGTCCTCGCAGAAGTTCACAAAGAGCTCCATCTTCTCAGACTCACCACCCTCATTGACGACATCAAAGATGAACTGCCGCTTTGACTCTCTGACCTGAGGCATCTCCCATTGGTTGCGGTTGGCCTCGCTGATTTCAAAGTAGATACGTTCTATCCTCTTGCCAGCACCCATGATCTCGATACGGCCCAGGAAGGGTCGGAAGTAGTTGAGCACACTCTCAGCTTGCTCCAAAAAGTTCTGCAAGCGAGTGTCATGAGGAACATGCTCAGAGAGGTTGGTGAGTAGCACAGCAATGTTGAAGCCGATGTCTTTGGCTGGCTCTTGGAAGCGATCGGCAAACTCCTCAAAATTGATCATCTCGTTCTCATCGGCTTCAGAGCAAGACAGCAGGAACTGGATCTCAGATGGAGTGTACTGCTTCTGACTGTCCATAGCCTTGGAGAAGTCTTTCTTGGAGATAAGGCCACGAGGGTCCGTCACATAGTCACGGAAGGCATCCGATGCCACAATGTCCTTCAGTTTGAGGAACATGTCAAAGAACTTGAGAATCATCTCTACGTTGCTGGATGACTCAACCAGCATGTCAACCATCTGGCGAGCGATTGTGCCATTCACAATGTTACCTGTAATAATACAAGAAAAAATAGGCTATAGATCATGACTTAAAGGATAAGTTCACTTCCAGAATAAAAAATGTCCTGATAATTTACTCACCCTCATGTCATCAATGATATTCATGTCTTTCTTTCTTCAGTCACAAAGAGTTTTTTTGAGGAAAATATTCCAGGATTTTTCTCCATATAGTGAACTTTAATAGCGGCCACTGGGTTGAAGGTCCAAATTGCAGTTTTAATGCAGCTTCAAAGGGCTCTACATGATCCCACCTGAGGAATAAGGGTCTTTATCTAGCGAAATGATCTTTCATTTTCTAAAAAAAAAAAAAAAATGTATATACATTTTAACCACAAATGCTTGTCTTGCACTAGCTCTGCAATGCGCGTCTATGACTTTACACATTACGTAATCACGTTGGAAAGGTCACGCATGTTAGTTCTTTGTCTGTGTAATTCGCAGTGTTAATTTTGACAGCAAATTTTGATTTAGTTTTAGTCATAGTCTTTTGACTAAAATGCCATTTAGTTTTAGTCATATTTTAGTCATCTGAATTGTTTTTAGTTTGTCGACTAAATATCATAACATTTTCGTCGACTAAATCTACAGTAAATTTAGTTGGCTAAAATCTAATGGGTTTAGTTACAGTGCATTTATTAAGCATTTCTCTAAAATTTCTGAACTCATTATATAGGTTTGATATTAAGGTTTTATCATGATAGACACCGATTTAACTGCGGTGACACACAACATGCCTTTATGTTAAAATTAAATAAAACCACTTCTCATACAGAACAAGAGCATGGTCTTCTTTTTAATGAAACACCAATGGTTATACAGGCTAATTATGCATTCTTTATAGCAACCTGTTTACCAT